TCTACCTGTTAGGGTTATGTTGATGTTATTCATGGTTCCATTCCAATCCCATCTGTTGATGTTGTGGACCCTTAAGTCATGAATCGTGTTTTTAGTAGTTTTGGTAGGACATCTGAATCATTCTTCGGGGATTTGCGCATGGCTCAGGAATTAAGTGTTTACTATTGGGCTCTGTGAGTCTAGCTTATGTTCTGGTTTAGCTTTTATGCTTTGACTGTATATGTTCTGATTATTTTAATTGGATAGAACCCTAGTGCACCTTTTTTAATTCTAAACTTAGTTGTTTATCTGGATCACTTACTTTTTGCTTGGCACCCATGATGCATTTCCAGTGCTTAAGTATAAGAGGTAGTTAATGAACATTATATGGTTTTCTGCTCCTTGTTTGGGTCCTTTACATGGTTATTTGGTAATGGTAGCATGAGTTGGTGCCAATTTTCGTTAATGATTATTTGAAGCTTGAGTGGTTATTTGCCCTGTTTGGTTTTTTCAATGTTACTTTAGATTCTACAGTCTCTGTTTTCCCCCTCAAGTGTCATCTAAGTAATAGCTTACCGTAGTGGGTTTAAGTCCATGCTCATTTTCTTTCGTGGGAATCATCGATATTCTAAATGTTCTTCGTATATACTATTATGTGTGTTCAGCTATGACTTGAATGGGTTTGACACATAGGTTGAGCTCCAGGGTCAACTTGTTCCTAATTGAATCATTTTATTCCGAAACATAAAAATCACTGCCTCTATTATTTATGAGTGTTGCCATTCATCATATGATTTACATAGTTGATGGTTTGGAAGAAATGCAAAAAACATGTCCTGTGTGTCTATAAGATGTTGCCAGATCTATTGTCACTGTCCAGGTCTTTAGGTTTCTGCTCTGTTATCCAAAGTATATGGTAGAACCTGAACTGTTCTAACTGTGGGAGAAATAAGTTTGTATCACCTCATATAATATAGGCACCAAACTGATTTTGACTATTGCTGTGTCCCAAATAACAAATAAGCAACTAGTGCTTTCGGTATATAGGCTCCTTGAGAGGTATTACCTAATTGTTTTGATCTATTGTCTTCTGGGAGCATGTTGTTATTGCACAGTTGTAACTTTTGGGGTGATATTTTATAGTATTAAGAATATTGATTTGTCCACTATGTGGCTTGTTTATGTTCTTTTTGAAAAGAAATGCTTTCGAAAAAGGTTGTAAGTTCAGTAGTTTTTGCTAATTCATCTTTGTTTTACATATATACATCCAATGACTGCTATATTCTACCATGTCACAGATCAAATTGACCATCTGTGAAGGAGAAGATGGCACTGAATCATCAAATGGAGATGTGTTGATCTTTCCAGATATGATCAGATACAAGTAAGCTGCAAGCGTGCTAACTAATAAACATGTGGTATTTAGGCTTCAAAGTCAACTATTTGTTAATTTTCAATCTGTGACATATGTTTGCAGAGGGCTGACCCATTTTGATGTCGACAACTTTGTTGAAGAAGTGCTTGTGAAGGATATTGACTGGCTTCCTGGATCTCCTGAGCCTATGAGTGGTTCCTATGTTTTTGTTTGCTCCCATGGAAGCAGGGACAAAAGGTGTGGTGTTTGTGGACCTGCTTTGATTAAAAGGTTCAAGGAAGAGATAAATGGACTGGGACTTGATGGTCAGGTGTCTGTCAGTGCATGCTCACACGTGGGAGGTCATAAGTATGCAGGAAATGTCATCATTTTCAGTTCTGATGCTAAGGGAGATGTGACTGGTCATTGGTAAGGACTGTTATTAAATTAACATTAACCCTTCACTTTGTCTTGTGCAACTATTGTTTTTTTTACTTTTGCATATGCACATTCTGTCCATTTATAATCCAATTAGTGCTCACTACAATTGCAATTGTAGGTATGGTTATGTTGTTCCTGATGATGTGCCTGTTTTGCTGCATAAACATATTGAACAAGGAGAAATTGTGGACCATCTATGGAGGTATCCTCCTTGTTAAACCCTTGTTCTCCTATCTGTACACCATGGGTTGAGAACTTAAAATTGTTTACTCATCATTTACATCTTATCATGATGTGGAGTCATGAATGACTAGATGTCGGTTCCCAGCCTATTATATTGCTCTTTCTTATCCTGCAAAGTACATGCTTATGTGAACATGTGTAATATATTCTATGATTAATCATACAAAAAAAAAACCTGCATAATGTTCTAGTTTAATTGCATTACTTAAAGTAGTATTGTTAACACATCTTTTAGTAATGCTTAAATTAGCTTCAATGGAGAATTGGAGATCATAATGTTCAAAACTATGTGCATTTCGGTAGTCTAATGTATATTATGGGGCCAAAGTCTTAATTTGAATTTTGTGCATTTAAATTTTGCACTTGTGCATTAAAGTTGTTCAAGACAATGCACTATAAGCATGCATGAAACTGTGTTCTTGTATAGTGCATTTTCTGTTCAGCCATGCTCATACACAGGAAATTTCCTATATGAACTTCATATTTGAATTCCTTTTTAAATTATCCTCCCTTATTGGTGTGAGTTTATCCAGAATCTCAGTGTTGGATTTGTCTGCACTATGTCAAATCACTCACTTTGTATGTATTGTTCTGCTCATGAGGATAGCTGATCAAGAATGATATTTCATTAATGCTTCGCTGGAATTCTCCAACTGCTTAATGTGGAATGTCGTAGCAAGTCTACTTCCTGGTTGAATTTGATACTCATGTATATGTCTTTGTACTTCTAGTTGCACCAACTTCAGAACTTAAAGAACGACCCTTACATGGCAAGCTGTTCAGTGTTCACATTCACAGTTCTTTGTTGCAATAGAAGAATGGTGTTTCCCGAATCTAATAACGCATGTTCAAAATCCCTTTTGACTTTTTGTACTTGTGTCACATGGCACTGGGGCCACCAAATTAATGCTTTCTGCCGCCATTGCTAATTTGCTATGTTCAAGTGATCCTACAATATATGTTTGATTGATAGCTGAGTGTTTCTTTGTCCTGGGGTTCTTATGTGTGCTATATATGGTGTCTTGCAGGGGGCAGATGGGTTTATCCGAGGAGCAGCAGAAGCAAGCTCTCGAGCTTCGGAGCATGCTAAATGGTGGCAAAGAATCCCTTGAAGAAACCGGAACAGATGGTGCTTCTTGCAACCCTGCAGCAGCTGGTGGATGCTGCCAAGGCAATGGTGGCTTCACCTGCTGCCAAACTGACCTGCCAAAGGAAAAACAGGACAAGAGTATGGCAGCTGAGCAGAACCCCAAGAGCTCTGAGGAGAATGACAAGGAGGGTGGTGCTGTCAGCAAGAAGGGGAATACAAAGACTTGCCCGATGCCCACCTGGTTTGAGACCTGGGAGAGAGCTGACACCTATGCCGCTCTTGCTGTTGTCGCAGCTGCTGCAGCGGTGTTTGTCTCTTTCAGAATCTACAAGAACCTCAACTGAAGAACTTGAGAGATGCTTGAAGAGGTGCCCAAAACAAGTCTAGGTGAAACAGCGTACTGTGGTAAAACAGTCTGGGATGAGAATAATATTTACCTGTGCATAGTAATGCGAGGCTTAGAACCGTAAAGTAGCGTTTCTGGAGATGGTGATGAAAAGGTGTTGCGGCTACTGTGTTCTCGTGTGTGAACTCCTTGTGAACGTCCACTGCTATCGAAGTTTCGATGCCTTAGCTGCTGTTAATCATAAGCAAGGCGATGGCCTCGGCATCAACCAGCCTGTTCGTTTCGGCTGAAACGATCGTGGACATTTACTGCTGGCTGGTTTGGTGTGAGAGAAAAATATTGTTGTAGCTTATAATTCACGATCGTTTACCACCAAGCGAACAGGCCAAACATTCACTGTGATGATGTTATCTTTTGTTTGCTTTTGGATGTTCTGGAGCATCTAGATATTAAAACAATGTCAGGTTGAATGGAAAATATGTTCATCTGATGCAGAAGTTAACGTCTTTCTTATTCTGGACGATTTTTTCTTTTTGAAATTTGAGCTTTGAACTTCCTCCTTTATCTGCAACCTGCACGTGCATGTTTCTATGGTGAACCCGGCGAGAAGCCAATGGACTTTGCATGAAGCCATGGAGGCAGTAATTGATGCTGAAGATCGCAGATACATCTAACGTGGGCGCCAATGAACGGCAATTGCAGCTGAAGATAGCTGATGCATCTAATCTGAAGATCGTTGATGCATCTAGTCTGATGGCATAAACTGTAACGAAGACTTAAGACTCAATCGGTCATAATAACTACTTTCCCTTTCCAAACCTTAAGGGCCCGTTAGTTTAGGCTGATTTTCGGCCGGAATGCTTCCTGGTGATGGTTGGACGTGTAAAATACAACACCAATCCTGGCCGTATAGGTTCCGGCACTGGATTCCGTTGGAACCGAACGTGCCCTAAGTCAGTTTCTTCGTCCCAAGTCAAATTTATTTTTCTAATTTTAATCAGGTTTATAGATAAAAAAATACACAAATATCTTTAACATCAAACAAGATTTATTAGGTACACTATGAAATATATTTTGATAGTGCATTTATTTTATATTATAAAAAAATGTGACCAACCTAAGAAAAATTATGCTGCTTTTCATTAACAAGAAAATAGGCATCTAAATTTAAGTTGAAGACTAAAACTTTAGGTGCATGACCACATCCTCTACCTAACCACTTGAGCAAGGCTCACTTCCTTTATTTAATGTTTTGGATGTCAATTAATTTTTTTACAAAATTGGTTAAAGTTAGACAAGTTTTGACTTGGAACAAAACTAAATCGACTTCCAATTTGAAACGGACAGAATACAAAAGGCATTGCAGGAGATCAGTACAATCAGGACTTGCTGAATTACAGATGTGAACTTTAAGAAAGTGTAAAGTACCCCCCAAAAAAAAACAGGTTGAAGAGACAAATCTACAGCACCAACCATCTGCTAAAAACATAACATCAGAAAACCCTACATTCAGTGGCAGGAACAATATAGTAAAACCCACATGTTTGCTAGAAGAAATCAAACTCCAAGTAGCCGTCAGCACCTTTCTGGGGTGCACCAACGGAAGCATCAGCAGCCCTTGATGGCGATGAAGGCTGCTTTGATGGCCTCTCGATCTCGACAAGTTTTGGTACCTCTGGTGGGCTTGCACACCTTATCAGTGCCCAATTCACGCCCTCAAAGAAGGGATGCTGCTTGATCTCTGTGGCTCCACGCTTGTAAGCCAACCGTTGCTGGGGCTCCTTCACAAGTAAACCCCTGATCAAATCTCTTGCTGAGAAGCTCACAACCGGGTACTCTGGGAAGCGCAACTGCTGGCCAATGACATTGAACAGTGTAGCCCGGTTGCTGGATCCCTTGAAAGGTGTCTTCCCGAAAAGCAGCTCGTACAAGAATATCCCAAAGGTCCACCAGTCGACAGCGCTACCATGGCCCTCACCTTTGATAATCTCAGGGGCCAGGTACTCGTGTGTCCCAACAAATGACATTGATCGTGCATCACTGGGCTCTGCTATGAGCTCAGGCCAATGGTTGATTGGGGTGGCAACTTCAGGTTTTGGTTTTCGATCTTTCTTGGACTTGGAGGAGAACAAGCGTGGGCCAAAGCAGGTGGTTGGGGCTGCACATGATGGTTGAATAATGCAGGACGGCTCAACACAGTAGCCTTGGCTGTTCTTCCTGAGTGCTTCTGCATCAGGGTTTGAGGATTTAATCAGTGTTGGACTGACTGCACAGCGAAGGGAGAGGTCGAAGTCTGAGAGCATGATGTGCCCATCCTCCCGAACAAGGACATTTTCAGGCTTGAGATCACGGTATATGATACCGAGCATGTGCAAGTATTCTAGTGCCAGGAGGACTTCTGCTATGTAGAATCTGCAACATGAGAAGATTTCATTAGCGAAGCACCTCAGAAGGTGGAAAACAAGGCAGCAAGCTATAGATTTTTTTCAGTCATGATGATTTCAAACTAATGAACTCAAAAACCTAAACTCTATTAGATAGTTAGGCAGTGAAATGCAATATATGGAGATGGTAATAAAATGCAGATAAGACATACTTGACAGCTTGCTCCGGAAAATGTTTGCCAGGCTGCCTCTGTCGAAGAGTGTGAAGGTCTCCCCCTGGGCAGAACTCCATAACTAGGCAGGAGAACTTATCGGTCTCAAAGTGAGTGTAAAGTGTAGGAAGGAAGGGATGATCCAGGCATTGCAAAATCTCCTTCTCTGTTTGAGCTCGAAGCAACTTTTTACGGCTTGCTAGTGATGCCTTATCCATAACCTTCATCGCGAAATAGCTCTTACTCCCACTCAATTCAGAGAGATACACACTGCCAATATCGCCACAGCCTAACCTCTTCAACAGCCTGAAATGACTCAACCCAAGGATCCCATCTCTAGTTCTGATCATCTGAATTGCCTCCCATCGTGAATCATTCGCCTTGTGAGGCTTTGTGCTGCTACTCATGCTACTACATGAGCTCTCATCACTGATATCACTGCTTGTGCTAGGCCTGCATCTTCCACTATTGCCCCTGTCACCAATCTCAGATGGATCAGTGAACTTAGCACTTACGCTAACCTTTGCTTGACTAGTCCCTTCACATGTCTGAAATGAAGTGGAACTTCCATTCATGCTCCCATTCTCCGCTACCACTTTCTTGCTTGATTCCACGGGAAACTTGATCGACGCAACATCAACAGGTTCCTTGAGGTGGTGATCTGGTTTCTGCTCCTTCGGCTCAGGTTTATGACTCGATTTGCTCACGTTAGTTGTTCCTGGTAACACTGTTAGTGCTGAAGCACAGGAATTGTTTGTCTGAGGAATCTCCAAAGGGGAAGCACTTTTAGAGCACTGCTTCGGGCCTGGGATGCTTGGCATTTCTGGGAGAATTTGGGGCATTGCCTTCGAAGCCATAGTTGAAACACTTGTCTGTTTTTCAGACAATATGACCAGAGACTGCAACAAGCTCGATCTGGTCAGGAAGCAACCTTAGCATTACGATGGACTATTCCATTGTAAATTTCATTGACAATCTGCAAATGGGAGCAAAACTTCGATCAAATCAATGAACTAGGGTCGCCCAGTGACTGAACTCACAACAAATATTTACTCCCCAAAAAGAATACAGGAAATGAGGTGGCCCAAGAAAATAGAACGCATCATCTGACTGTGACATACTTCTTTTTTTACCGCAGGCTGCGACATACTATTGAAGTAAGCAATAAACCAAGATTTACCAAAAGAAATAATAAACCAAGAAAATGACGGCCACATTCAGCATTCGCCTCCCGCCATGGGACGATGGGCGCTCATCACTGGGTGCTCAATGTGCGCCCGCCGCACTTGGGGATTCATCATCTGTCAAGCTAGGAAAGGTCTTGTTCTAACCATCAACTATGTCCAGCCCCCACTAACCTCAATCATGCAACGCTACAGATCTAGCATCCTCTTTAGCAATAAACAAATGTTTGATCAGCAGAGTGGTCGCCAAAGGAACATCATTGCTGCTCGCAAAAGAAAGTCGCCCGCCCCAGAATGAAAGCCTTTCCTTGCACAAAAAAGAAAAAAAACCCTACTACTGCCTAGCAGTTAAAGGCGCGCCGCGTGCGCAAAGCTCGCGAGTTGAAATCGGAGCACATTTCAACGAAACCAAAATGCTAATTTTTATTAATCTCTTCCTTTTGTGTTGGCTGCAGAAAGCTGAGGAAAGCAGGAATCAATAGCCGCGAAAAGAAGGGGCGAACTTTTCTCATCTTTCTGCGAAATGCAGAGCAGCAGAGATGAGCAAACCAGACAGATCTACAGGACCAAAACACAATATAACGAAAGGCGACCGAATCAGGAACCAGGGGAAAAACAAAACTGGAGGGGAGATGTGCTGCAGCAGAAATCTCACCAGAACCAGATTGCGCTGCGCAGAGCCTGAAAGCCCTGAAGAGCCGAATCTCTGGGCTCCCAAGCGAGAGGACGCCGCGGAGATGGGAGCCCGAGGCCTGCGCTCCTGTCCACCAGTTCTCCCTAGCTCTGGCGCATGCAGGACATGTCTTGTGGAGCGAGCAATGGCGGAGGGGAAGGAGGAGGAAGAAGAGAGCAGGAAACGGGAGGCGTCAAGTATTAATGGCCTGCCTTTCTGCTCCCCGGCCCGTCAATTCGCTTTTTTTTTCTATCGTTTTTGGTAATTCATTTCGCAGGTGCAATGATCCTGTCCCATAGTTTTTGGGGTCCCTGCAGGCTGGAGGCGACGCCCAGTCTCTCGAAAACGACATGGCCGCCTCAAACTTCTTCCGTTGATCCCTCTCAGTTTGTTAGGAGGGTTAACGCAAGTACAGTCACAGTAACGTGCCAAGATCAACGGAAATTCTGTAAAAAAAAACAGCATCAAGAAAAACACGCGTTGGATCGCGAAACAGATTTCAGAAATCAGCTGGCTCTGGCTCTCGGGCGATCATAATGGTGCGGATCTAGGCTGCCCTACGCCGCAACAGTGCAAAATCCTTTTTAACCCTGTACAAACGTACTGCAGCAACCTGCTTCCAACGTTGCAACTTTGCCAATTGGACGTGACAGAACAGCCCTCTCTCGAGTCACTTCATTAAAATTGGCGAGCCCCAGGTCAACTTTTCCTTGCTTTCCGAGAAGGAATCGGTGAAAACGAAAACTACCTCGGCCGGTTACTCGGTAGATACGGTAGCGGGTTTGGAAGCTGCGGAACGGTCGAATCATAAGAGCATCTCCCAACGGTCTCTCCTAAAATCGTCCTGTAAATCATCATATAAAGAAATAAAAATGGCCCTCTATATAATTTTTCACGCTTCAACAACTTCTCTAAATCTTGAGCGCACTTAAAAAACCAGCTTCACTTTTAGAGTGTTTTTCTAGACTAATAAAAAACAAGAATCAGTTCTAGGTAATTCTCTCAGAAAGTTCTCCCTCTTTAGTTGGCAGCGATTCTAGTGGTTCTAAACGTATCTCGATGTGAAACGCAACCTAAATATCGCCAAATTTTGGAGCAAGGTATTTGATCACAAGGGCCATGTTTCATCGATGAAGCTAACAATTATCTCCTTTGATCCAAATAGAACATATGCTAATAATTTTGCTAATTGGTAGCTGAATATCCTACCTAACAACTATTTGAGTGGTTAGGCCAAACTAGCTCATATTTCTGGATTAACAAACTAGCTCATATGAACTGCTCTCTCTATTTCAAACTACGAGACGTTTGGGTTTTCTAGATACATAGTTCAGCTATGCGCTTAGATATATGTCTAGATATATAGTAAAAAAATATTTAGAAAAGGTAAAATACTTTATTGTAATTTAAAATAGAGAGTATTAGCTAGCTACTGTACCTATTAGCAACTAATCGATCAAACAGAGCCTAGCCCGGTAAATAATCTGTGTTCTCTCACTTTTTCTTACACACCACTAAAGTGACGAAGACAAAATGTGACGGGCAACGATGTGTATAAATCAATGTACTGCCGCAAAATTCATGATATATAGTTATATACGGTCGCTAACACTTTTTTTTTTCCTGAAAAGTGGTGTCTTCATTAGGAGTAGTATTAATACTGCGCGTAGTACGGCGCTTTCGGATCGTGTAGTGTAGGACAATGAGGCAGCTCAAATACGATCAAACCTTTATACCCATCCTAACCGTTCAGAACGTACGTAGCGGTACGGCTAGCAGCGGTTAAAGAGTACAGCAGCGGGAGCGGCGCAGAATTTCGAAACTAACCCTAAGCTGTGCACGGTTCTACTTCTTCCCAGAGCTGCTATTGGATTTCGGCGTACACGACGAACGGCCTGTTCTGGTTGTTAGTTGATTTCTTGACTGGTTTAAACTGACTGGTGCTGGTTTACTTTGTTGGCTGGTTGATTTTGGCTGACTGAAACCAACAAACGAACGGCCGGAAACCGGACGGGTTCTAGGCTTTAGAGGCTCGTAGTGAAGTGTAGCTGGTGTGGTCGAGGGCCATCGCCCGTTGGGAGACGGACGGGCGTGGACCCGCGGGGCGGATCCCAGTGCGTTATGCGTGGCTGGCCGCGGCCGGTTCGGCGTCGGTGTCTGTCATGCGGAGCATTCGCCGTCCTCCAGCTACGGCGTGGAGCACGTGGAGAGGCCATCAGTTATGGCCTTATGGGACGCCACCACGCCATGAAGGATTGGACTGAACTGAAGGGTGCCCGTCTGCCTCGCTGTCCTCGCTCTCCAAACACAGGCCGAATGCACGGCACCAGCAGCAGCCCGCATCGGATCGGAGCCTCGCAGTCGCAGGTATCGCAGGTAGCTAAATTAGGCTTATTTGGCTGCACTTCAACTAAGAGTCTGGAGCGTAGCCAAACAAGTTTTTAGACAGGTCTGCTCGCAAAAAGAAGAAGAAGAAGAAGAAGAAGAAGAAGAGTTTTTAGACAGGTCACGCCGTCTCGGAGTCTAAGAAGCACCACAAATGGTGACCGTGGTAACAACTCATTGCTCAATCCTATTTTATAACCAGCTCTCTCACAAAGATTGGAGAGTGATAAAAGGTCAAATATGACCATCACTAAACACAACGATGTATATATGTCTCCACGTTGATTGAATGAAAATGTGCATATATATGCTACTATTTAGGCCCTGTTTGGAATTTGGATACTACTTTAGCTCTTAAAAGTCTAAACAGAAGATCTAAAGTGGTGTCTAAAGTTTAAACCATTTAACAAAACTTTAGACTACGCTAGTGAGTTAGAGTGGTGCAGGCTATTACTAGTCGACAATAGCAGGGGTATTTTGATCTATGCGATCTGGCTTGGCAACTCAAACATATCTATATTTTGGGACAAGGTTGAAATTTTTAAATACACAGCGTAGCTACTCATATTCTAGACAGAGGGAAGGGAGTAGTATTGTTTCAAAAAAAAAAGGTAGTAGTATAACGCTGGCATTAGGAAGTAGGAATGCGTCCACGATGTGAAGGCGAGATTATCGGCGGCGCATCGCCTTGGAATCCAATCCTAGGCAAGCGACTGCCAATTAGCATAGGCAATTGTGCCAGCTTACTAGATTAGCATAGACAATTCTGCTAGTAGCTTGCTAGATGCAACCCTAGTGCCTGTCCCTTAAAATAAATTACAGAGATCAACGGATGCGCGCACACAACCACACGGCTGACGACTCTGCTGATGGCATCTCTCAGAATCCATGGCGTTCGGGCATCGATCCATGGTGATTTCAACGCTCCAAGCTTGCGTTGCTACAACTACTCCCCCCCTCCGGCTGTTTCATTGAATAAGCTGCCCCGGCTTTGCCACGCCGAGTGGGAGCATGTGCACATGCTGCGCCGCTAGCTCATCGATCAGGAAGCATCCACGGAGCAACAAAGATCTGTCGCTGCTGCTGCCTCCATGTCAGTCAGGGCCAAATCTCATGTGCGCATTGGTACGCATTCGCAGCAGCAGCTGCACAGAGGGAGAGGTAGCGAATGAAGCTCCGGGTCCACGATGCATAGCGTGTGTGTGCGTGCGCGCGCGCGCGCGAAGCTTCCAACTGCGAGCGGGGTGTGTGTGTGTGTGTGAATTCCTCCACAGAAGCTTCCAACTGCGAGCGACATCCCGTTCGCGTCGTAGCAGGGAGCCAGGGAGGCAGGAGGATCGGTAACGCAGGTCCGTGGGCCTCCGTGCCCCATCCAGTCTAGTCCATACTTTCTTTCGCCGTCCTCGTCGCCTCGTCGGGATGCTGGATGCAGACGCGTCCCTCTCTCTCGATGGAGCGGAATCGAAATGGGCCATCAACGACGCATCCGCAATGATGAGAGCTACAGTGAACAATAAAAGTAGGAGTAGTTGTAAATCATGTCCCGGTGCCCCAAAGCTCCTCCAGCAGGCCGATCGTGGATGCCCGGGCGGAGGACAATCAGTCTGTTCGATTG